TTACTATATGAAAATTTCAAATCCCAATGGTCTGCCCAATGAGACAAAAGCGGTTCAAAGAAGTTAAAGTTTATTTCTGGTGTTGTCCATTCCCTACACAGGCTTTGGTAATGCTCACAGTTCAAGCCGCTCTGGACCGTTTACACCCAGATTTTTGTGGCAAGTCAAGTTGTGTCAAAGGTGGCATAGCTGTCATGTTTTACACGTCATTGTATTTATTGGCTTTGGGCATGGGAGGAGTGAGAGGTTCCTTGACTGCATTTGGTGCTGACCAATTTGATGAAAAGAATCCGAGAGAAGCAAAGGCTCTTGCAAGCTTCTTCAATTGGCTTTTGCTGAGTTCAACCTTAGGATCAATTATAGGGGTGACTGGGGTTGTTTGGGTTAGCACTCAAAAGGCTTGGCACTGGGGCTTTATCATAATAACAGTGGCTTCCTCTATTGGCTTTCTCATCCTTGCTCTTGGCAAGCCATTCTACCGCATCAAAACTCCCGGTCAAAGCGCCATTTTGAGGATTTGTCAGGTAAGTTAAAATCAATTTTCAATTAACTTAAACAAGAGTTTTTATTAATTAGTTGGTAATTACAAAAAAGTTTAGTTTCATTTGGTCTTTGTATTATTCTCTTTTTGTAAATGTTTAGCGAGAAGTTTATCCAAACCAGCACAATCAAACTAAATATACAATAAGCACCAAACCACCTTGTTTTTTTTGCTGCAGGTTATTTTTGTGGCTTTTAAAAACCGGAAGCTACCACTGCCAGAGTCACATGAAGAACTTTATGAGGTCTATGAAGATGCTACATTAGAAAAACTTGCCCATACCAACCAAATGAGGTAACTCTTTGTGTACATACATGCTCAAAATTCATGGTTAACAGCTTGTATAATGATGCAACACAACCTAATGATGTTCTGTAAGCGATGAGACAATTAACTAATACATGGTCCAGTCCATTGGCGTGTTGAGATTCTTTTCTTCATGTACGACGTAGTAGGTATTGCCAAGGACTCTGGGCCTACTACTATCACTGCTGCACGCTTGGAGCTGCAGCCATACAGAGAATGATCAATTGGTCACGGAAAATATATCTGAACCACTTGTAAACATTACGCTCAAGAAAATAAATAAGCTCCTGACAACAATAACTCGGTGAAAAAGTTTATAAAACTACAGTACTGTCTGCAATCAATCTCTTTTGTTTTTTTTGTTGGCTCAGTTCTGAGTACTTCACTGAGAAAATGGAAAGCAATTTTTATTCTCAGTACTGGCAGTAACCTCAATGATTTAATTCATCTTTCTTTTTTATTTACTTATCCAATTTTCTTATATGGCTAACTCCCGATGCAAGTTAATAATTGATGACAATGTTGCCTTTTTTAAAAAAAATATATGTTTAAATGGTACTGTTTGTTGAATCAGGTTTCTAGATAGAGCAAGCATTCTTCAAGAAAACATTGAACCACGAGCATGGAAGGTGTGCACAGTGACACAAGTTGAAGAAGTAAAGATCCTAACCAGAATGTTACCAATATTAGCCAGTACCATTATAATGAACACTTGTTTAGCACAGCTTCAAACATTCTCAGTTCAACAGGGGAATGTGATGAACCTGAAACTTGGATCTTTTACTGTGCCTGCTCCATCCATTCCAGTTATCCCCCTTCTTTTCTTGTCCATCCTAATTCCCATCTATGAATTCTTCTTTGTGCCATTGGTACGAAAGATCACTCACCACCCTTCTGGGATTACTCAACTTCAAAGAGTTGGTGTGGGGTTAGTACTTTCTTCCATTTCAATGGCAGTAGCTGGTATAGTAGAAGTGAAAAGAAGGGACCAAGGAAAGAAGGACCCTTCAAGGCCAATAAGTCTGTTTTGGCTATCTTTCCAATTTGCTATATTTGGAATTGCAGACATGTTCACTCTTGTAGGACTCCTAGAATTCTTCTACAGAGAAGCACCTGAAACAATGAAGTCACTGTCAACTTCGTTCACATATTTGTCCATGTCTCTTGGTTACTTCTTAAGCACAGTCTTTGTGGATGTCATTAATGCTGTCACCAAAAGGGTCACTCCAAGCAAGCAAGGATGGTTGCATGGCTTGGACTTAAACCAAAACAACCTCAACTTGTTCTATTGGTTCTTAGCAATCCTAAGCTGCCTTAATTTTTTTAACTACCTTTATTGGGCCTCTTGGTACAAGTACAAAGCGGAAGACAGCCATTCAAAGGTGAATTTGAAGGCTCTCAAAAGTGTTGGTGAGAGAAAACAAGATGAGGAAGAGAAGAAGGATGGAAAAGTTAAGGCTAAAGAAAGCAGCCAAACAAGTGAAGCCAATACTGAGGGACCCTCTTCCTCTGATGAAACAGATGATGGAAGGCACTCTAGAGAATGGAAGCACAGATAAAGTCAGTAGGCTCAAGACATGATTTGGTATTAAGGACTAGATATGATAAACATCTTATGTGAAAACACTGAAATAGATAGTGGTTGAAATCTCTCTTATCCTACATGTGTGCTTATTGTATGATTGATTGGCACTGTTCATTCTGGCACCATCTGCTTGTCTGTTGTGAACAGAGTCAAAGTTTTTTTTTTTTTTAAATGTGTTCTTTTTTGTTTTATAAGTTTATTAATTATTCACCTGTAATTGTAATTTACTAAGAGGTGCTTAGTTAATTGTTCAATGAAGTCAAAGAATCTATAGTTTCAAATACTCAATACACTAATAAGACATACCATTGCAGTTAAGCAATCACCCTCTCATTGGAAAAGAAAAAAAGAAACAAACCATAAGGAACAAATCAAATTGAAAAAAATATCCTTTCTGAACTTAATATTTTCTATTTTTACAATTAGATAATAAAATAAAAATATAATCTTCAGTCCCTCGTAAGCATGATAAAAGAAAAATAGATTTTGAAAATGGTTTACTTGGTTTGAAATTTAGAATAAGGGAATGAAAGGTGTTTAAACAGTGTTTGTCTTACAAAGAAAAGATGGTGGAAAAGGAAAAACAGGAGACTAAGGTGAGACTTTTATTAGGTAACACCTATTATACTTTTCATTTTTTTTATTTTTTTAATCAATTTAATTTTATCAATATGATAAATATAAATTTTTTTTCTAAATAATATATATATATATATATATATATATATATCAATTTAGTATAATTTAAAATTATTTTATTTTTAATTTATTTTTAATTTATTTTTAATTAAGTTTTATTAAATCATAGATTTTAATTATTATTTTTATTTATCATATATTAAATTTTATCTTAATTACATAAATTTATTTTAAGAATTTGACAAAAAATTTAATAATTAAGTTTTTTATTATTTTATATTGATTACATAAAAATAAATTTATTAAATATTTTTTTATAAATTATATATTTTATATTTATTAATATTTTAGAATGATAATTCAAAAAATATTTAATTTATAAATATAATTAATTTTACGATATCGGTGTTAACTAAATTTTTAATCACAATATAATTTATTATAACTAATGCATGTAACAACTATTTAATTAAAAGATGTTCTGTAGGTTGAATAATTCATATAATACTATTTGTTGTGATTATCTTTTTCTATCACGGTGATATATTAGATAAATAATCACAAATACGAATGGTTTTATAAATTAACATATAAATATAATTTAAGTCTTTTTTATTTTCAGCTGCTTAGTCAAATTGATATCCAACCTTTGAGTCAAAGGAATTATGCAAATTTTTGAGATTTGGTGAAAAAATAAGTGTGGAAGTATTATCTTGTGCTTTTTGGTGATTTAATGAATATGAAGGATTGTAAGTTGAATGGAAATAATTTAAAAAAAATAAAATAAAAGAGAGAGAATATGAATATGAAAAAAATGAAAAAAAGTGAAAAATAGAAAAAAATATGGTTTGATGGGAAAGATGAAAGAAAAAAACAAAAGAGTGAGAAATAAATGAATAAATGTTTGCTTTTAGAGGTAGTTTTTTACCGTTTTTTTTTTCATTTCATTAAAAATATTATCCATTTTAAAACTTTAATATGTTACTATTTTAATTTTAGAAAACAACTCATCTACTCTTAGAATTGTCAAAACAGATAATCCAACATACCTAGTCAAGAAAAATAATTTGACGATAATAAATTTTAACCAAACTTAACCTGGATAAAATTAACGAGCTAATGATCGATTTTTGTTTGACGGATACCTATATAAAATCAATTAATTAAGAAATATTTAAATAAAAATTAAAATTTATTTTAAAAATTAAAATTTTATTAATAAAATTAATTTTTATTTTATATATAATATATAAATTATAAAAAAATATATTATTCAATTTTAAAATAAAAATTAAAAACTTATTCTTTATTATCATTATTTATTTTTAATAATTTATTAATTTAAAATAATAATTAATTTTAATTATTAATTATTAAAAACTTAATCAAATATTTATTTTTATAATAAATAAATTCTTGTCAAATTAATTTATAATACATATATATTTTTTATAAAATAATATTACTTTTATTTTACTTAAAATATATACATTATTATATAAAACAGAACATTCATAAACCCACAGCTTACATATTTCTATTTCATTGTAACTTGCATTAATTTTATATCATTTATTTTTTAAAGCAAGAAAATTTATTGATGAAATCCACCAAACCTATTCATTCCTCAATATATTAATCAATTCAAATAACATCAAATTAAGAGCATGATCGCTAATGCAAAGAAAGTGTAACAGTTATTATTTTGTATGTCGCGAGTTGACTGGCTATCTGCCAGGTCAACTTAGTTGTTTTTTAATTAGTTAAAGCTATTGTTAATGGTTACTGGCTTAGCAAAATAGTTAAGCTGTTTGTAACGGTTACACTATATAAAGTGGTTTCCTTGTTTACCAAATCAGAATATGAAATATATACAAAATTTCTAAATGCTGCGAGAAAGAACGGGTGGAGGCGGAGGAGGCATATCCCATGTTGCGGAGTATCTTAACTCTTCCCGCATGTTTGTTCCCCTTCCATTTGATCAGCTACATACACCCTTACCTTTCCTCTTATCCTCTTGACCAGTTTGGTAGTATCCATATGCTAGAGCAGTTTCTCATCCATAACGTTATGGGAAATGACAAGTTCACAAAATTCACATGCACGAACAACCTACGTACAACAGTTGTACAATATAAGAAGTTGCATAATCCTAAATCTCACCCAAACCAGAAATTACCTCAAGGTATAAAACTCATAACCTCTGCCTTAATGAAAGCACCAGGCTGGGAATGATTACTTCATGATGCATAAACTGAGGTGATCCATGCAAACTTCCCAAGGGTTTTACACTTATTACCTTACATCTACAATATGTCATTACAAGCTACATCGAAGACTTATAACATTAGTTAGCACCTCAAAATGCATCAGTTAACCATAGCCAACGGGTATAGCATCTTCGTTATGTGCTCTGCAGTAATGACACGGTTTCCTTCACATATTTGTCAAAATAGAATATTGAGAAAGTATTATGAGAAACAAATAGTTACTTCCTCAGTCACTTTCTATGTCTGTCTCATCATGTCTCAAAGTATTATGAGCTGTTCGATTACCAATCATAATATTTGCCAATTCCTGAGTTGCATAGGAAGTGCTCTGCCTCATTTTCTCAACCAGTATTTCAATGTGATCTAACTGCCCTAAACCTAAGAGCCGATTCCTCAGTAGCTCAACGGTAGTAACATAAGGTGGTATTCCTTCATCAATCATCATTTCAAAATACTTACATGCCTGCTCTAGCTTTCCCTTCTTCTTACAAAAACCATGAATCAAGACAGAATATGTTGAGACAGATGGATAAAAATTTTTGTTCACCATGTTCTCCCAAACTTCAATTACCTTATCAAACCTTCCTATCCTGATTAACAATTTGAACACCATGTTATATGTATGGCGATCAGGAAGACAATTATCTTTTTCCATTCTAAACATTAACCTTAGGGCCCTATTGACTTCACAATGATCACAATGGTAAGCTTGTATTGCATTATAGCTCCAAGTATCTGGTTTAACTCCTCTTGAAATCATTTCATCCAACAATTGATAAGCTTCTGCCACATGTTCATTCTTACAAAGTCGTTTTATAATACAATTGTATGTAAACACATTAGGCAAAAGGTTGTACCTTCTCATTTTATCAAGAACCCTGAAAGCCGATTGCACATCATTTGCATTGCAATATGAGTGAATGAATATAGAATAAGTAAAAGCATCTGGCTCAATACCTTTTGACAACATATCATGAAAAACATTTCTAGCTTCATTCACACGACCTCCTTTGCAAAGAGCACCCAACAAATTATTATATGCAAGCAAATCCACTGGACTCCCTTCTTCAAGCATTGCTTCAAACAGCTCCCGAGCTTTATCCCAATCACCAATGTTACCCCATCCACTAATCAAAATGCTATAAGTTTTAACAGTTAATGAGAAACGATTCTTAGCTTTATCAAAAAATTGTTGAGCCAGCTTTACATGATTCTTTTTGCATAAAAAGTATAAAAGCTTATCTAAATCACGAACAGTTGGCTTAACTCCAAACTCATCCATTCTATTGAAAGACCGAATTGCACCATCTGGTAAATTAGCCTGGCAATATGTCTTGAAAATGAGCCAGAAAATCTCACTGCTGATTTCATATGAACCAGAGTCTCTCGTTTCTATGAGAAAATCCCATAGTATGGCAAACTGTTTGCAACTTCCCAAGATTTGCACTAAAATGTGGAAGCTCAGAACACTGTGCTGAAAACCCGGAATTGATTTAGCCCAAAGAAAGAATCTGTGGGCTGAGAAGCCAAGATTCTTGCACCTCTTCAAGACCTGTTCAACCAAATTAGTGGAAATTTGTGGAGAAAATGGATTGAGAGAAAGTTCTAGATCATGGTGAGGGTATCGGTGGTCACTGAGTAGACGGGATATCTCATTGACAAGGTCAGGTAACAATGGCGCTGAGACTTGTGGGGTTGGGAAAGAGTGTAAGTGGTGGTAACTGAGCTTGTGTTTAACAAGGGTGCAAAAGAAAGAGGGTAAGGTTTTATACTTGGACAAGAGTGAAGCCATTTTGGACAATGTGATATCAATTCCAGCACCCGGAAGGATTCAACTACGTTGGAACACCTTCAATCCAACATTTTCCATTGCACAAAATCTGGGTTTCTAAAGATGTGAAAGTAATCATGGATGTACGTGTTCTATGTGCTAGTGGCCATAGCATGCACACCATGCTTCTTCCCTGTTTAGACAAAATTATAAGAAAACACAAATTCATGTGCAAAACATCGAGTGGGAAAGAGAGTCTAAAATATTTTCTTAGTAACATAGATACATCAAACTACCGAAAATTAACATAAAACAAATTCTCATAAAATTCAAACGGTTCAGCTTACACGAAGCAATATAGTATCTCTACTGCAGTTTTAGAGCAAAGAGATCACCCAATTCACAACCCTACACCTCAAAACAACACCGAACTGTTTTTGTTTTTTCTTACATATCTCAAATGGACATAATTGAGTAATATTATTTGTGCATAATTTAAGTCATGAAGACCGCATTTTAAACGAAAATAAATATTTCTTTTGTAGGCTTACTAGCAAAAGCCCACACATATCCGTGGGTTCAAGTAATAATATGACAAATATATATATATATATATATATATATATATATATATATATATATATATATTAAATCTAACATGCTAGAAGAACTATTTCTTTCTTTCGTATTTTTAAGCTAAAGTCAGTCAAATTAAAACAAATATTGATTTATCAAACTTTATCAATTGAAAATGAAATGGAGGACCAACCTCGACGTGTCGCGATAGTGGTGGCGGCTGCAACCTGGACCGGTCGCAGTGGTGAGGGAGGCGCGACTGCGCGATGGTGGCGTGTCGTGAGAGAGAGGAGGCGTGGCTGTGGCTGAGAAGGAGGACCTGCCAGAGAAGAGAAGATGGATGGTGGAGAAGAAAGGGAAAAAAAAAGAAAAAAAACAAAGAAAGAAAGGGAAAAAGGACAGATATTAGGTTTAGGTATGTTACTACACGGGTAAATATATATTAACAAGTCCGGTTAATTTTATTGATGGTTTTATATATTTGAAAAGATGGGCCCATTGGGTCCGAGGATCCGAGCCCGTTTGCCCAACCGAAATAAATAAACATCCCACTCTGTTCAGTTGGATTTATTCGAGATTGTGTTTTCTCCTCCTTCACCTTCAACTCTCTGTCTCTCACCCGCAGGTATTTCTGTCTGTGTTACGAATATTTCCGTCTGTTAAATTTCCGAGTTCTTTCTTGGCTTTTGACATATACCTTCACATGCATGCTTCGTTTCCGCTCTTGGCCTTGTATCTTCCATTTTAACCTTGAGATGTCTAGGTAAAACCAATGGCGGGAAAAGGAGGGAAGGGACTTCTTGCAGCGAAAACCACGGCGGCCAGCAAGGACAAAGACAAAGACAAAGACAAGAAACGACCTATTTCTCGCTCATCTCGTGCAGGAATCCAGGTTTTATTTTCCCTTTTCTTTCTTCTCTATTTTACTTTAAGTTTTTTGCTTTCCCTATTTTCCATTTTTGAAACCTTCTGGCCACTCTATTTTTTCGCTCTTTCGTTACTTTGTTTTGCATAAAGAACACAGGGTAGGAGCTATGGATATGAAAATTTCTGATTCACCACATACAAAGTATGAATCTTTCCTAGTTTTGCGTGTGGAGAATTTTATACAACAAATTTATACCCACAAAAATTATATATTTAAAATATATAATTTTGTTTGTCAGACCTTGGATTTGTTGTAGTTGTTAGGTATTTTGTCCTTTGTACAAGAGTCTATCCATCATGGTTTTAGAAAGTTGGTACACTCGTTCGGATACATACACAAGTTGAAATTTATTCTGATTTTGTAGGTTTTAGGCTAACATTTATGTGAAGGTTACTTCAAGTTTTATTTTGTGCATGAAGTTTTGTGAAGTTTGTTACCTTCTACTGTAACAAATCTAAAAACCACACTTATTATGACATTTGATTAGTTGAAAATGTAATTTTTTTCCATACTAAATGTGTGTATCCATATGTATTTTTATATATTTTTGTAACTTTGTTATTTGTTTGGAAATATAGTTTCCTGTCGGTCGTATCCATAGACAGCTGAAACAAAGGGTCCAGGCCAATGGACGTGTTGGGGCTACTGCTGCTGTATACTTGGCCTCAATTCTTGAGTATCTGACTGCTGAGGTTCTTGAACTGGCTGGTAATGCAAGTAAGGATCTTAAGGTGAAGAGGATAACACCAAGGCATTTGCAGCTGGCTATCAGGGGAGATGAGGAGCTGGACACCCTTATCAAAGGGACCATCGCTGGTGGTGGTGTCATTCCTCACATTCACAAGTCCTTGATCAACAAAACCGCAAAGGAGTAAAGTGGCTCCTCATTGCATATTGCCCTTTACTGAAGCTAGGATGTGTTTATTGTGAATTGATCACAGTAGGATAGTATTATTTCTTCAATAGTTTTAGAACTGAGGTGGTAGTGTGTAAATGGTTGGCTAGACAATGCTTTCTTTAACTGTTTAAGTTGTCTGTGTTAGAGCTTTAACCATGGTGGATTGCTAGACAATGCTTGCTTTTAGATACAATCTGTGATTTGTTGTCTCGGTTGGCCATTTCACCCCTTTATATGTGGTTGTTTGAATTTTGTGTTTGCAAACTTGTTCTAAGATGGAAGAAAGATGTTTAGGCTATGAAAGTTTTAATTATTAGTTAAAATCATCTTCAAAGGTACAAAATCAAACTTCCTATTAGTGTATTAGACAAATTTGATAGGGCAGCCTCTACTCTGCTGTCTCTTGAACTGCATGTTTTTTTGTGTCTGAATATCTATGTAAAGAACTATTTTAGTTGGGGTATTGAGATTTTAATTTCTTCCGAAGAATATATTTGTTTACCATGTCCTACCTTCTCTAAACAATTTTTTTTTCATATGTACTGAGTACAAAATTATTAATGTTTTACTCATGAAAATAACACACTTGAGATCTGTTTCCACTAGTGTACAGTCTGTAGAGCTGCATCCTGCATATAGTAGATGTTCGATTAACTTGGTTTGAGACAGATACGATTATTATATTTTTGTGGACTTGAAATTAAAATCTTTAATTAAATTAACAGTTACTATCACTTCATCTACACATTAGTGATAGAAATAATATGATTGATAGTTATTTTACATGTTATATTTATATTTTGGTGTAAGTGAAGGATATTGAGGGAATATTTTCAACTACTAGAACTAATTTGAAATCAGTGGAATTTTCTGAGGACTAAAGTTGATGTGTGTTTAATTGGTATACTTCAGTCAGTGAGAGAATAAACAGACACTCAATAAGAATGGTGGGATTCAATTCTTGCTAATAAGTTGCATTCCCATTTCTCTTACCCTATTCCTCATTCCTTTCCTAGAACCTATTAGGGTCACTCAAAATTCCCACTTGCAAACCCTCCCACCGAACTTAAAAGGAGAGTCATGGCTACTGGCTTGCTAAAAGAATGACTATTAACTAAGACAAATTTCCAACATGCTCAGGTTTTAATCTTGTCCTTCAAAGGTGAGTATTGACTACTAAAAACATAACTGAAACCAAATTCGCTACATGTTGAGAAGGGAATCTTCTCTTTCAAACTTACTTCTAATGACCACCCTCCACTAATATCAGAAATACAATTTTCTTATAGTTTTCTAGTATGATATTATTAAAAAGGGCACTCGCTAATTATCACTTTTAAAAGAACCGTGCTGTTATTAAAAGATCCTATATAGATATGTCATAATGTGTGATTATTTTATTGTGTATTAAGAAAATTACGTGAATTAACAAGCCCGTAAAATGATACGTACGAACTATATATTTACGCAATGTTCACAATTATTTCATTTATGACCAAAGGACGATGTAGGTAAAAAGTAAGTAATACTTCAATTTTTAAATAATAGTCTTACCGTAATTTTATTTTTTTTAATAATAATAAATTTAAACTCTACCAACAACCCCTGTAATATAATTGATTATATGAACAATAGACTCAGTAGCACTTGCGTTAAAAGAGACAGAAAAGTAGTTAAATGGTTGAGAAGTTCCAAGCTAGAGTTTTATTATCAGTATTCTAACCTTAAAATACTAGTATTCTAATCAAAGAAGTCTAAAGTATGTTATGAAACACACACGATACCACTATCCCCTAATCAGGAGCATAACCTTTGTGTGAAGATGCTTTTCATGCACTATGCTTTCTTTATATAAAGCCTTTCTCATTCCTCAATTCCCTTGCTTTCTCTCACTCAATTTAAACTCCAAAGAACACCCACAAATGGATGCAAAATGTTTGCACAGTGCAGGGGTCCAAATCCAACCCTAACTTCAGCTCATTGGAAACCAAAACACCCTTGTGTGGTTGCAGTGCTGGCAAGGCCTGCTGATGACATTTCAGGAGAAACAAGAAAAACTAACGTGTACAAAGATACCTTCTTTGATCACAGAGCCATAAACCACATGTCAAAATGAATTCAAGAGGCAACAGGTTCAAGAGTTATCTTCCCTTTTGATCAACTCATACCCTTCAAGGAGTTTGTAGTATTTTTCATTTTCTTCATGTTGATTCTATGTGTGTATATGCAGGACTCAGAAACAGTAAGAGTGGGTATGAGAGCCTAGTAGAGGCAGCATCAAGTTGTCATTCAAGCACTTCATACAGCCTTCCCCAAGCCAATGCTTTTATTGTTGAGTTCCTTACTCTCTGAAATTAAGTTTATTTTTATTGAAATGTCTGAGCATATATAGATGATATATGATAACGAGGAATGAGTAAAAGTTGTTATTATGCATGAGGAACGCAGATAAAGATACTATTACCACCGTCCTAGTTGACAAGGACATTGTTTGCCATCTTCTCCACTTTGTTCTTTGCATGGTTAATTGGCCCCTCTGAGGTAATAAGCAACCCGAATTATAAATACTTCAATCATAAACACTTGCTACATGCATGCCAATATTCCAGTATAATTTATAACATGTATACAACAACACATTTTTGGAGAATAACTATGAAAACTGGTTTTAAATCTCCAATTAAGTGTTAGTTTCATGATAAAATCATGTTATGTATGATTTTTAAATTACTTATTATATATATGAAGAGACGTGATTATATATTAATATGAAAGAAATTATATTATCAATACATTCTAATTAAATATAGGCTTAATTATAATTTTAATCCCTATATTTTACCAAATTCTCAATTTCGATCCATAAATTCTTTTTTTGTAATTTAAGTCGCTTAATTTTTTTATCTATATTTTTGGTTCTCAATCGATTTTATGCAAATTTCATTCCTTATAATTTTAATAATCTCTAATCTTGTTTAATTTTAGTTTAATTATATTTTATTTTATTTTGTTCTTTTAACACGATACACTAAGTAAGAAGTGTAAAATAATTAGTTCATAAGGACAGTTATTGTAAAACAAGTAGGAATAATGACACCAGAAATGATATTGTTTCCATAAAGTAGAGATCCAGAAACAGGACCATCAATATCTAATGGAGGGACAACAATAAAAGCAATAATAAATACAGAAATTGCAATTAATAAAGTACGAATCATCAAAACACCAAATCATCCAATATAAATGATTTTCAGTGCTGGTTATCCAATTACAGAGACAATCCCATAGACTTTCGCTCTCACGTCTCTCTAAAATTACAGTCATAGTAAAATCTCGGTTCATTTAATTATTAGGGACTCCCAAACACAATAATTCTCTATAATTAGAGAATTTGAGGACTTATTATTCAACAGTATAACATGACTTATATACCAGTGTCAACCAATACTAATATTCATAGTATGTTGTTATTCATTTTGGTTTATCCGAATTCACGTTTTTACCCCGATTCATAAAAAAAGTTTCTTTTCTATACATTGAGATGGAAAGAAAAATTATTATATTCATTACTTTTTTTTTTACAAATGTAATTTGATAGTGATTTAATATATTTTTAAAACCAAAAAAAAAAATTGTAAATGATTAAAAAGTAAAAGAAGAAAATTACAATAAAAAAAGTTAGGATCAAACTTACAGATTTTATAAATATAAATACCAAATTATAATTAAATTTATATAATAATTTTTTTAATTATGTTCAGTTCTTCAAATATAGAACTATTTTAATTTTTTCTTTAAATTAAAAAATACTTTAGTCTCTAAAAATTGAAAAAAAAGTTTTAAATTCTTAAACATTAAATTTGAAATAATAACATAAGTTTCT